CTAGTTCTGTTCTAGTTCTGTTCTAGTTCTGTTCTAGTTCTGTTCTAGTTCTGTTCTAGTTCTGTTCTAGTTCTGTTCTAGTTCTGTTCTAGTTCTGTTCTAGTTCTGTTCTAGTTCTGTTCTAGTTCTGTTCTAGTTCTGTTCTAGTTCTATTCTAGTTCTGTTCTAGTTCTGTTCTGTTCTAGTTCTGTTCTGTTCTAGTTCTGTTCTAGTTTGTTTTAGTTCTGTTCTAGTTCTGTTCTAGTTCTGTTCTAGTTCTGTTCTAGTTCTGTTCTAGTTCTGTTTCTAGTTCTGTTCTAGTTCTGTTCTAGTTCTGTTCTAGTTCTGTTCTAGTTCTGTTCTAGTTCTGTTCTAGTTCTGTTCTAGTTCTTTCTAGTTCTGTTCTAGTTCTGTTCTAGTTCTGTTCTAGTTCTGTTCTATTTCTACTCTAGTTCTGTTCTAGTTCTGTTCTAGTTCTGTTCTAGTTCTGTTCTAGTTCTGTTCTAGTTCTGTTCTAGTTCTGTTCTAGTTCTGTTCTAGTTCTGTTCTAGTTCTGTTCTAGTTCTGTTCTAGTTCTGTTCTAGTTCTGTTCTAGTTCTGTTCTAGTTCTGTTCTAGTTCTGTTCTAGTTCTGTTCTAGTTCTGTTCTAGTTCTGTTCTAGTTCTGTTCTAGTTCTGTTCTAGTTCTGTTCTAGTTCTGTTCTAGTTCTGTTCTAGTTCTGTTCTAGTTCTGTTCTAGTTCTGTTCTAGTTCTGTTCTAGTTCTGTTCTAGTTCTGTTCTAGTTCTGTTCTAGTTCTGTTCTAGTTCTGTTCTAGTTCTGTTCTAGTTCTGTTCTAGTTCTGTTCTAGTTCTGTTCTAGTTCTGTTCTAGTTCTGTTCTAGTTCTGTTCTAGTTCTGTTCTAGTTCTGTTCTAGTTCTGTTCTAGTTCTGTTCTAGTTCTGTTCTAGTTCTGTTCTAGTTCTGTTCTAGTTCTGTTCTAGTTCTGTTCTAGTTCTGTTCTAGTTCTGTTCTAGTTCTGTTCTAGTTCTGTTCTAGTTCTGTTCTAGTTCTGTTCTAGTTCTAGTTCTGTTTTAGTTCTGTTTTACTTCTAAAATATATCAGTATTAACCAAAATCAATATCTTATAAATCCCCTAAATTATATTCTGCAAAAAATCTACAAAGAAAATGACATCAAATCTTTTACAGCAAAACAAATCACACGTCAATGCAGATAAAATTACAAAATGCGTTTAAAGTGAAATTATTACAACAAGAAAATAATGAAAAAAAAAAAAAATAACGAAACAAATTTTCTTTTTCTTTCATGTGACACATGTATGTTGGAAACGCTAAGCAAGTTAGATGGCTGTGTGCACTGTATCTGATGGTGCCCCAACAAAAAGAAACCAGCAACGAAATATGGCAAAAGTCAAATTAGGAGACATGTGGCATTTGAAGGCAAATAAGGAAATAAATTTAAAATAACAGCAGCAAATCGAATTGAAACTTATTAGAAGCCCACCAAAAATATACAACAGCAACAAAAAATAAAAAAAAATTAAAGAAAACAAACTAAAAACGCCAAATGTTCTACAAGCTGCAGAGGATTCAAATAGCAGATACTAACTGTGTCGAACAACGTGGGGACTTGGTTTTTCATAATTTACTCAAAAACAACCAAAGAAAATATTGACACTTTGGATACTAGTGCTAAAACTGCAGGCAGATGTAGGGCCTTTGTATAGTTTACTGGATGTCTAGGAGGCAACCAAAATCAAAAACCGAACCAAATGTGTTCTATGGCTGTTGATTTGTTTATGTTGTGCTAAGACCAGATCTATAAAGGAACAGCATTAAGGAAACATTTTGTGTGAAAAAAGGCATAATAAAACGAAATTATACACATTTTAACCAAAATATGTAGATTTTCTATTGCTACATTTGTACATACATACATATGTATTTATGTATGTGTGTAATTAGAAATGTATGCCTGACATTGTGCATTACTTGCACCATTACAATCTCTTTATTTATTTCTCTCTACTTGTTCATACACTATGTAGTAGATACATAAATTGCATTTCAATATTACCAACAGCTCCAAATGTATAGAAATTTATTTTGGGTTTGTTTTCCTTTTTGTATCTGTTAGATTTTGTGAATTCAAAACATACATTTGTTGGATACTAAAAAGGCAAATGCAATGAGGGTTTTAATTGAGAGAAGTTAAAAGTAGGAGAGAGAGATTATTAAGGACAGATTTGAGAGTGATTGATAAATGTTGTCTCTCTGTAATGTTACACTGAGAGAAAAATCAAATTCTTTAGAATTGGAAAGTCTATAGTTTAGTCCGAAGTCTGAATACAGTACAGTCTACTCTGTAGTTTAGTCTATAGTCTACTCGTAGTCTAGTCTATAGTCTAGTCTATAGTCTAGTCTATAGTCTAGTCTATAGTCTAGTCTATAGTCTAGTCTATAGTCCTAGTCTATAGTCCTAGTCTATAGTCTATAGTCTAGTCTATAGTCTAGTCTATAGTCCTAGTCTATAGTCCTAGTCTATAGTCTAGTCTATAGTCCTAGTCTATAGTCTAGTCTATAGTCTAGTCTATAGTCTAGTCTATAGTCTTGTCTATAGTCCTAGTCTATAGTCTAGTCTATAGTCTAGTCTTAGTCTAGTCTATAGTCTAGTCTATAGTCTAGTCTATAGTCTAGTCTATAGTCTAGTCTATAGTCTAGTCTATAGTCTAGTCTATAGTCTAGTCTATAGTCTAGTCTATAGTCTAGTCTATAGTCTAGTCTATAGTCTAGTCTATAGTCTAGTCTATAGTCTAGTCTATAGTCTAGTCTATAGTCTAGTCTATAGTCTAGTCTATAGTCTAGTCTATAGTCTAGTCTATAGTCTAGTCTATAGTCTCTAGTCTAGTCTATAGTCTCTAGTCTAGTCTATAGTCTCTAGTCTAGTCTATAGTCTCTAGTCTAGTCTATAGTCTCTAGTCTAGTCTATAGTCTAGTCTAGTCTAGTCTATAGTCTAGTCTATAGTCTAGTCTATAGTCTAGTCTATAGTCTAGTCTATAGTCTAGTCTAGTCTAGTCTATAGTCTAGTCTATAGTCTAGTCTATAGTCTAGTCTATAGTCTAGTCTATAGTCTAGTCTATAGTCTAGTCTATAGTCTAGTCTATAGTCTAGTCTATAGTCTAGTCTATAGTCTAGTCTATAGTCTAGTCTATAGTCTAGTCTATAGTCTAGTCTATAGTCTAGTCTATAGTCTAGTCTATAGTCTAGTCTATAGTCTAGTCTATAGTCTATAGTCTAGTCTATAGTCTAGTCTATAGTCTAGTCTATAGTCTAGTCTATAGTCTAGTCTATAGTCTAGTCTATAGTCTAGTCTATAGTCTAGTCTATAGTCTAGTCTATAGTCTAGTCTATAGTCTAGTCTATAGTCTAGTCTATAGTCTAGTCTATCTCTAGTCTACAGTCTAGTCTATAGTCTAGTCTATAGTCTAGTCTATAGTCTAGTCTATAGTCTAGTCTATAGTCTAGTCTATAGTCTAGTCTATAGTCTAGTCTATAGTCTAGTCTAGTCTAGTCTATAGTCTAGTCTATAGTCTAGTCTATAGTCTAGTCTATAGTCTAGTCTATAGTCTAGTCTATAGTCTAGTCTATAGTCTAGTCTATAGTCTAGTCTATAGTCTAGTCTATAGTCTAGTCTATAGTCTAGTCTATAGTCTAGTCTATAGTCTAGTCTATAGTCTAGTCTATAGTCTAGTCTATAGTCTAGTCTATAGTCTAGTCTATAGTCTAGTCTATAGTCTAGTCTATAGTCTAGTCTATAGTCTAGTCTATAGTCTAGTCTATAGTCTAGTCTATAGTCTAGTCTATAGTCTAGTCTATAGTCTAGTCTATAGTCTAGTCTATAGTCTAGTCTATAGTCTAGTCTATAGTCTAGTCTATAGTCTAGTCTATAGTTCTAGTCTATAGTCTAGTCTATAGTCTAGTCTATAGTCTAGTCTATAGTCTAGCTATAGTCTAGTATATAGTCTAGTCTATAGTCTAGTCTATAGTCTAGTCTATAGTTAGTCTATAGTCTAGTCTATAGTCTAGTCTATAGTCTAGTCTATAGTCTAGTCTATAGTCTAGTCTATAGTCTAGGTCTATAGTCTAAGTCTAGTCTATGTCTAGTCTATAGTCTAGTCTATAGTCTAGTCTATAGTCTAGTCTATAGTCTGTCTATAGTCTAGTCTATAGTCTAGTCTATAGTCTAGTCTATAGTCTAGTCTATAGTCTAGTCTATAGTCTAGTCTATAGTCTAGTCTATAGTCTCTAGGTCTATAGTCTAGTCTAGTCTATAGTCTAGTCTATAGTCTAGTCTATAGTCTAGTCTATTCTAGTCTATAGTCTAGTCTATAGTCTAGTCTATAGTCTAGTCTATAGTCTATAGTAGTCTATAGTCTAGTCTATAGTCTAGTCTATAGTCTAGTCTATAGTCTAGTCTATAGTCTAGTCTATAGTCTAGTCTATAGTCTAGTCTATAGTCTAGTCTATAGTCTAGTCTATAGTCTAGTCTATAGTCTAGTCTATAGTCTAGTCTATAGTCTAGTCTATAGTCTAGTCTATAGTCTAGTCTAGTCTATATTCTAGTCTATAGTCTAGTCTATAGTCTAGTCTATAGTCTAGCCTATAGTCTAGTCTATAGTCTAGTCTATAGTCTTGTCTATAGTCTAGTCTATGGCCTAGTCAATATATAGTAATATTTTTTTCAGTGTATTTCTCTCCTCGTTTTTTGTTTTTTCAACTTGTTTGCTTAAACTGCAATTGTTTTGTTTGTTTGGTTTTGTTTTCATGCTCTCTCGCTGTCATCTCTTTATGGGCATTTATTCTAGACAACAATGTGTATTTATAAGATACTCTATACAAAACAAACCAGCAGATTGTTTTTATTTGTTGTTATTTTTTCTTGCTGTTGTTGTTATTATGTATTTTTTTTTCTATTTTTTTCTGTTTAAATTTCGTATTCAAGACAAGCGCGTATGAATGTTGGAGCTGATTGAGTGCGATGTTTTCAAATCAGTTGCCGTTCGCACGTATCTGCAGTGGGTTGTTGCCCAGATTGGATAAATAAAAAAAAAAAATTAATAAAAATTTATATAAAATTATAAAAAAATATATAATTAAAACAACATCAGCATTACTGAGATACAACTTTTTTTTAATAAAAAGACTTGTTTGTTATTGTTATAAAAAAAAGAAATAAAAATTTAAGATTTTTTTATAAAAAAAAAGAAAAATATTTAATGAGATTTTGTAAAAAAGGAAATAATTAAAAGTTCAACGAAAAAAGAAAAGTTTAAAAAACGAGTTTTGAGGATAAAGTTATAAATAAAAGTCAATTTATGTTGAATATTGAAATTTCGAAAATATTTTACTTAAAAGTGATAATAAAGTGATAAAATTTGTTTTTTATTTCCTTTCAAAAAGAGTGTCTTGTTGTGATAAATTTTTGAGCAAATCGGAAATTGTATACAATTTTTGGGTGTATAGATATTTTTGTGTTGTTGTTATTATTAAACAAAAAGCAAAAATTTGCAGTAAATAGATAAGATTGTGTTGCAGATACAAGAAAAGTATCTTATAAAAATTTTGAACTTTTGTTTAAAAAAAGCTGCAAAATTTAAAAAAATTTCAGTGCTAAAAATACTAATTTATTTATTTAACAATATCACAAGTTAAAAACAAATAAAGTTAAATTTTTATATAAAATATAGCAAATAAAAGAAAAAGTTAAAGCAAATAAATAAACAAGGTGTGGACCGGTTTCTATTATAATTCTTTATTTTAAAACGTTTCATTAAATGAAATGATGTTGTCATTAAATTTGAATTAAATAAAAAACTAAGCAAATATTTAGCTAAATTTGTAGCTTAAATACAATTTGTATAGAACAAAATACGTGTCAAGCTTTATTTTTGGAAAAATCAATAAAATTCTACCAAAAAAAAAAAACAACAAACACATCTAACAATAACCCACCAGACCAAACAACTAGGCTTTAAACAGCTCCTATAGCCAAAAAGTAATAATACAAATAAACAACAACAGCAACAATATTTTTATAACAAACTAGCTTTAACCAAATAAGAAAGCAAAAAAAAAAATCCCAATTCACTCAAACATTGCAATACTACTTGGACTTCAAGAGATTCCCAACCTCACCCAAAAACAATCATAAACTACAGGCACCCTTAAGAAAAGCGAAGAAAAACTCTGCTAAATGTCAACAAAATAAACTTTCAACAGCTGTTTTTTGTTTTTCTCTCTTTTCATTTTCCTTTGGAAAACAAAGAGCGAGCGTGTTTGAAGGAGTGACAACAGGGAGAGGAAGGTTAGAAACAAACAGGAAGGTGTGTTTGTTAGTAAAAGGATAAAGGTAAGTTTAGAAAAGCCTACAAGATACAAAGTAATCCGTTTATTAAACTAGACTGTATATGGGTTAGACTGAAATAGGCTACAGACTAGAATATAGAAAAGATTATAGACTAGACAATAAACTAGACTATAAACTAAACTATAGACTAGACAATAGACTAGATAATAGACTAGACTATAGACTAGACTATAGACTAGACTATAGACTAGACTATAGACTAGACTATAGACTAGACTATAGACTAGACTATAGACTAGACTATAAACTAGACTATAGACTAGACTATAGACTATACTATAGACTATACTATAGACTATACTATAGACTATACTATAGACTATACTATAGACTAGACTATAGACTAGACTAGACTATAGACTAGACTATAGACTAGACTATAGACTAGACTATAGACTAGACTATAGACTAGACTATAAACTAGACTATAGACCAGACTAGACTATAGACCAGACTAGACTAGAGTATAGACAAGACCATAGACTACAATACAGACCTTACTGTATACTAGACTATAGACTAGGCAATAGACCAGACAATAGACTAGACAATAGACTAGACTATAGACTAGACTATAGACTAGACTATAGACTAGACTATAGACTAGACTATAGACTAGACTATAGACTAGACTATAGACTAGACTATAGAATAGACTATAGACTAGACTATAGAATAGACTATAGACTAGACTATAGACTAGACTATAGACTAGACTATAGACTAGACTATAGACTAGACTATAGACTAGACTATAGACTAGACTATAGACCAGACTCTAGACTAGACTATAGACTAGACTATAGACTAGACTAGACTATAGACTAGACTATAGACTAGACTATAGAATAGACTATAGACTAGGATCTAGATAGACTATAGACTAATAGACTAGACATAGACTAGACTATAGACTAGACTATAGACTAGACTATAGACTAGACTATAGACTAGACTATAGACTAGACTATAGACTAGACTATAGACTAGACTATAGACTAGACTATAGACTAGACTATAGACTAGACTATAGACTAGACTATAGACTAGACTATAGACTAGACTATAGACTAGACTATAGACTAGACTATAGACTAGACTATAGACTAGACTATAGACTAGACTATAGACTAGACTATAGACTAGACTATAGACTAGACTATAGACTAGACTATAGACTAGACTATAGACTAGACTATAGACTAGACTATAGACTAGACTATAGACTAGACTATAGACTAGACTATAGACTAGACTATAGACTAGACTATAGACTAGACTATAGACTAGACTATAGACTAGACTATAGACTAGACTATAGACTAGACTATACTAGACTATAGACTACTAGACTAGACTACTGGACTATAGACTAGACTACAGACTAGACTAGACTATAGACTAGACTATAGACTAGACTATAGACTAGACTATAAACTAGACTATAGACTAGACTATAGACTAGACTATAGACTAGACTATAGACTAGACTATAGACTAGACTATAGACTAGACTATAGACTAGACTTCAGTTACAATTCAGTTCTAGTTCAATTCTAGTTCAGTTCTAGTTCAGTTCTAGTTCAGTTTTAGTTCAGTTCTAGTTCAGTTCTAGTTCAGTTCTAGTTCAGTTGTAGTTCAGTTCTAGTTCAGTTCTAGCTCACTTCTAGTTAAGTTCTAGTTCAGTTCTAGTTCAGTTGTAGTTTAGTTGTAGTTCAGTTGTAGTTCAGTTCTAGTTCAGTACTAGTTCAGTTCTAGTTCAGTTCTAGTTCAGTTCTAGTTCTAGTTCAGTTCTAGTTCAGTTCTAGTTCAGTTCTAGTTCAGTTCTAGTTCAGTTCTAGTTCAGTTCTAGTTCAGTTCTAGTTCAGTTCTAGTTCAGTTCTAGTTCAGTTCTAGTTCAGTTCAGTTCAGTTCTAGTTCAGTTCTAGTTCAGTTCTAGTTCAGTACTAGTTCAGTTCTAGTTCAGTTCTAGTTCAGTTCTAGTTCAGTTCTAGTTCAGTTCTAGTTCAGTTCTAGTTCAGTTCTAGTTCAGTTCTAGTTCAGTTCTATTTCAGTTCTAGTTCAGTTCTAGTTCAGTTCTAGTTCAGTTCTAGTTCAGTTCTAGTTCAGTTCTAGTTCAGTTCTAGTTCAGTTCTAGTTCAGTTCTAGTTCAGTTCTAGTTCAGTTCTAGTTCAGTTCTAGTTCAGTTCTAGTTCAGTTCTAGTTCAGTTCTAGTTCAGTTCTAGTTCAGTTCTAGTTCAGTTCTAGTTCAGTTCTAGTTCAGTTCTAGTTCAGTTCTAGTTCAGTTCTAGTTCAGTTCTAGTTCAGTTCTAGTTCAGTTCTAGTTCAGTTCTAGTTCAGTTCTAGTTCAGTTCTAGTTCAGTTCTAGTTCAGTTCTAGTTCAGTTCTAGTTCAGTTCTAGTTCAGTTCTAGTTCAGTTCTATTTCAGTTCTAGTTCAGTTCTAGTTCAGTTCTAGTTCAGTTCTAGTTCAGTTCTAGTTCAGTTCTAGTTCAGTTCTAGTTCAGTTCTAGTTCAGTTCTAGTTCAGTTCTAGTTCAGTTCTAGTTCAGTTCTAGTTCAGTTCTAGTTCAGTTCTAGTTCAGTTCTAGTTCAGTTCTAGTTCAGTTCTAGTTCAGTTCTAGTTCAGTTCTGATTCAGTTCTTTTTTGATCACCATTGTCTTGATTGATCGTGATGGTTATTAGTACATTATATATGTATATTTTTGTCTAATTCATTTCGCTCTCGCAAGTGTCATTCAAAACGAATTGCAAAATTTTCAAAACACAAAAAACCTCAGCCTCATAAACACCACTTAATCAGCAACACATGACAATGGCTCAAGTTTATACAATTCCAAAATAATAAAAAAAATTATTTGTCTAAAGAAACTCGTAAATTATAGAGGGTGGGCAATGTGCAATTCCCGCCAGACGTACCAAATAACAAGTAATAAAAGTTGTTAAAATTGAAAATGAAAAACAACAACAACATCTTAAGTGTTGTGCAGTATGTGTGTAGGTTCCGCAATAACATTTCATAATGTATTCAGATAATAACGAAATAATGTTCTTTTTATGTACTTACACACAGACATTATTTTGAAAAATCATACTTTAAACACACTCGCATAGAAAGATAGAAGATACATTTAAGTAAAATATGTTTGTTTGTTTAACTATTTGTGTTTATTTTATCTTATAAATTGTGCAATGTTTTGATAATTAACTTTTCAATGACTTTATTCTTCTAAAAAAACGAAGAATATGTAGAAACAAAGAGATAGTTGAGGGGTTTATAAACAAAATTGGTTAACTTTATATTTTTAATTGTTTATATTATATGACAATTATTGCTTTCTTTTATGAGTAATTGATTCATTAAAATTATTAACTCCATTTTATAGATTTTTTATAGTTATTTATGCATTAAATAATTTTTATGTTAGTGTATAAATTTTAAATTTTATTAAATATTTTTAGAGATTTTTATTTTTCCCATAAAATGTTCCACAATTTTCCACTTAAATTAAACTTTTATTAGGCTTAATTGAGGTATTTTAATTAAAGTTGTTTTCATTAACTCTACGAAAGAACTCTGAACAATTGAGAAAACTCCCTTAAGAGCTATTAATTAAATATTTAAGTTGTTCAATATTCTCTCTTAATAACTTCACTTTAGATGATGAGTAAATATTAGGGTGGGATACTATTTATAGTCATAATATTCCTAGTCCTAGTTCAGTTCTAGTTCAGTTCTAGTTCAGTTCTAGTTCAGTTCTAGTTCAGTTCTAGTTCAGTTCTAGTTCCGTTCTAGTTCCGTTCTAGTTCAGTTCTAGTTCAGTTCTAGTTCAGTTCTAGTTCAGTTCTAGTTCAGTTCTAGTTCAGTTCTAGTTCAGTTCTAATTCAGTTCTAGTTCAGTTCTAGTTCAGTTCTAGTTCAGTTCTAGTAGTTCAGTTCTAGTTCAGTTCTAGTTCAGTTCTAGTTCAGTTCTAGTTCAGTTCTAGTTCAGTTCTAGTTCAGTTCTAGTTCAGTTCTAGTTCAGTTCTAGTTCAGTTCTAGTTCAGTTCTAGTTCAGTTCTAGTTCAGTTCTAGTTCAGTTCTAGTTCAGTTCTAGTTCAGTTCTAGTTCAGTTCTAGGTCAGTTCTAGTTCAGTTCTAGTTCAGTTCTAGTTCAGTTCTAGTTCAGTTCTAGTTCAGTTCTAGTTCAGTTCTAGTTCAGTTCTAGTTCAGTTCTAGTTCAGTTCTAGTTCAGTTCTAGTTCAGTTCTAGTTCAGTTCTAGTTCAGTTCTAGTTCAGTTCTAGTTCAGTTCTAATTCAGTTCTAGTTCAGTTCTAGTTCAGTTCTAGTTCAGTTCTAATTCAGTTCTAGTTCAGTTCTAGTTCAGTTCAGTTCTAGTTCAGTTCTAGTTCAGTTCTAGTTCAGTTCTAGTTCAGTTCTAGTTCAGTTCTAATTCAGTTCTAGTTCAGTTCTAGTTCAGTTCTAGTTCAGTTCTAGTTCAGTTCTAGTTCAGTTCTAGTTCCGTTCTAGTTCAGTTCTAGTTCAGTTCTAGTTCAGTTCTAGTTCAGTTCTATTTCAGTTCTAGTTCAGTTCTAGTTCAGTTCTAGTTCAGTTCTAGTTCAGTTCTAATTCAGTTCTAGTTCAGTTCTAGTTCAGTTCTAGTTCAGTTCTAGTTCAGTTCTAGTTCAGTTCTAATTCAGTTCTAGTTCAGTTCTAGTTCAGTTCTAGTTCAGTTATAGTTCAGTTCTAGTTCAGTTCTAGTTCAGTTCTAGTTCAGTTCTAGTTCAGTTCTAATTCAGTTCTAGTTCAGTTCTAGTTCAGTTCTAGTTCAGTTCTAGTTCAGTTCTAGTTCAGTTCTAGTTCAGTTCTAGTTCAGTTCTAGTTCAGTTCTAGTAGTTCAGGTTCTAGGTCAGTTCTAGTTCAGTTCTAGTTCAGTTCTAGTTCAGTTCTAGTTCAGTTCAGTTCAGTTCTAGTTCAGTTCTAGTTCAGTTCTAGTTCAGTTCTAG